GTACTCAAGTAATTTTTCATGATCGAAAAAGTCCTTTCACTGGATGTGAACTCCATTAGACCATGACTATTTCACATCCATTGAAAGGACCTTTTTCATAATCAAAGATTTATACGTTTTGGTCAAAGAAAAACGAAAAAATAAATGAATAAAATTCAGGGACAAAAATAGTTTAGAACTTGGTTATAAGTTTCAAAGGTCCATTCACTGGATGTGAATTCCATTAGACCATGACTATATTGCACATCCAGTAAAAGGACCTATTTCTCGTTTTGATCAACGCATGCGCAAGAGAAGGAAATACAGTATTATGTATTCATGATGATTATTCTAATCTTCATGCACTTTCCATTGCGTTTAAATTTCATAATTTAATGGATTTATTGTAAACAGCTCCCATGCAGCATTTCAATTCAGAAAAATACATACTGTACACTTGATTTTACCAATCGAGATACCTTACCATGCAATAAGCAGCTGTTAATGCGGGCTGATACTCAGCTGAGAGCCGAAGGAATATAGCAGCTCTAAATTCAAGATAATATGCTTTTAAGAAAATAGAACATCTTATCTGGATAGGGTGGGATTCGAACCCAACACCAGAAATTAAAAAAATAATCGATTCCATTATAGACTTTTTATTCATTCACACACTTATTTACAATATTGAAATATATAGGAAAGAGATACAAATATACAACTGAATTAAAATAAACCAATCAAATAATAACAATCATGTTTGGGTGTGCGTGGTTGTTGACATAGTAAAAACTTTCGAGTCGACAGCCATACCCTCGAGACATCCGCAGAGCTGAGGCGGCGTATTGACTTCGGACCTATCTAACAGAGATTAAATCCTTCTGCCCTTGGGTGTACGAATTACGTAATAAAATGTCCTAGCTAACCCGGTCCAAGCATCAGGGGAGAGACTAAGGCGGCTAGACTAGTTATTGCCAGGCTGGGTGACTTCGAACTAAGGCCTCATATACTTAATTTTTTTTTTTTGTAAGATTTTTTTCGAAGTCGATTATAATTATTTGAAGTTGTTGGGAAATCCGGTAGAAAATTTAAAAATGTGTCGGGCATACTTTATCTCCCCAGCTGTGTATGATCGTGGACGATTTTTCTAAGTACGACGAGAGTCCTTCTAATTTGCCCGTTCACACTAGCCAGTTTTCCGTGGTGGTCCTCTTATTCAGTTACCGCGATTTTTGTCATCTAGCCGTCAAAATGTTGTGGACTCAAGAGTGTTTTACTCAACCAAGAAATCCCACGCGTGATTTTTCTTTTTTTTTTTTTTTTTTTTTTTTTTTTTTTTTTTTTTTTTTTTTTTTTTATTGGATAACTTTAGTTAATAGATAATTTTTAATTTATGTTATGTTTCAATTAGTGAGCTGCTTAGGATATATTTCTTAAGGATTGAGAATTAAATTTTTCAACAAGGCCAAAAAATTTCCTTTAGATTTGTTTATCTTTGTTTGTGGATTATTTTCAATTTCATACAAAATAAATAAAATTGATTAAAATATAACTCATCTTTATTTTGTCTTTCAGATCAACCCCAAGTAGGTTGAATGTCAGCTTCGTGGGACCTCATAGATCCAGGTAAATTTTATATACTTATTGAGCAATTAGGCTAACTTGAATGATCAAAAATGTGTGAGCATATCAATTTGTAGGTGTCTGTATAGGGGAGGGAGGGGTGAAGTAATCTGAAACAGTCTATTGGCCATAAAAGGTAGGGGAGGAGCTATAGGGCCATTCCCCTCCCCCCTCCCCCCAATACTCCATTTTACAGTTCTGTTCAATGACCACAAACAATAGTTCCATAAGGAGGCTAGAGTTACTGCGCATAGCAAAACTAAAGTTTATCATACACGGAAACTCCCACCTTGACTTGGAACTATTATTCTTGGTCACTGAAGGGAACTGTAAAATGAGTATTGCTCTTGCAAATGATAAAACAATCTAATTTTCATAAGCCTGCAGGCTCTCAGACCCTTCACTCCCCATAATGAGAATTGACGGTGCAACACTATGTCCCTGTGTTTAACATCATATTTAATATTTCAAGGTAACTGAGTTCTTTCGCATCCTCTGATTGGTTGAAATACCATTTCAGTCTTTGCTATCTGTTGTGATTTCCAACACTTCTCTCATGTTCTCTTAGCATCTATTTGGACCCATGTTTAGATCAGAGTACAGTATCTAAAATGGATATTTTAAAGTGTTTTATATTTTTTAGCTCGGGTAATTTAACAATGTGAATAATATTTTAGATGTGCAAGATTTGGGCAAGTCTATAGTGCAAAAGATAGAAAATCTTTAGAAGGACCCCTCCCTGAGGTAAGAAGCCTATAGCAAAAATTGTTGAAAAAATTCCAGAAAATCGCCAGTCAAAAATATGAAAGGTACCAACTGATTAGTTTTGATTGACAGCAGCAAAAAGCCTAATTTTTAGCATGCATCTAGCAGCTACTGAGTTTGCAATATGTTTATGAAAATGGCATAAACAATAAGAAAGTATGCATGTTGCAGAAAATCCAAACTTTTATTTTCTTCTGCAACATTGCAAAAATGGCACTCATGTGCAGTAGAATTGTTTGTGCACCCACAGGTAGCCCAAGCTTGGTTTCTGTGGTGTCCTGTCATAAGGAAATGTATGTAAATATTTGAATTTAGCTCATTTTAAGGATTTTTTCCCCACCAGTAAGAAATAAGAGAAGGTTGGAGACTCGGGGTCCCAACAGCGGTGGGGAAAAAAATCCTTAAAACGGGCTAAATTCAAAAAATAACCACGCAGAGCAAAAAAAGTGTTATTTATCAATAACTGGGTAAAATTTCGAGGCTTCATTTCACATTTCAATGATTTTATTGACTTTTTTGATGAATCCCCATACATTTCCTTATGACAGGACACCACAGAAACCAAACTTGGGCTACCTGTGGTACACCACAATGAAAATAAAGAGTATTTATTTATCTAATAATTTCTTATATAGGAATCAACTAGTACAATTGTTCTTTCTCCTGGTTATGTATTATCGAGATCTAAGGAAAAAATCAACATGACCATCAAAACTGATGATTTCTTCTCAGAACAAAAGGTATGATATTGTGCTAATTGTTATCAAAACAAAAGTTATGGTAATTGTGTTTATATATTGGCATAGAAGAGAAACAAACTGGATGAATTTTAGAAATGAGTTGAGGACTGGTAACGAGCTTTAAAATTAATCTAGTTAAAAAATAAACACCATAACAAGAAAGAGTACATCGAAATTAGTAAGTTCCTGGAGTTTCAAGATTGTGGGCTTCATACATTTTGTGTTGCAACCTCCCAAACATCTCAAAAATTACAAACGATTGTCTCTAGTAAACACACATTCCTTTGTAATCTTCGATGTTTTTGATTGCTTATAATTTAGCTGTTACTTAGCCAATCAAAGCCATACTGCAGAAACCTGTTAAGTTTGATGTGCTCTCCTTTAACAATAAATACTTTCAATGTGTGGCTGTGCCCTGACTCTTATCAGTCTAAAAGTTGTTACAGATTATTTAACTGACTTGAGCCATCATAGGATATCAAGGCACAATAATGTCTTTCGAACTAGTTGTGCATAATATAAGAATAACAAAAAAAGAGAATTGATTGACTTACTCTTGATTATTAACAATTTTTCTATGTTTTCTCTGAAAGACAAACAAGAGTCACAGAAAAAGGTAAGCGGTTATGAACAAAAATAACAATACGATAAGAAAATGCTTTAAACAAAGAACAAAAACAAAAACAAAATAAAGTGTATCCCTATTTTTCCATTCTGTTGTAGGTTGAAGCCACCAGATGAAAAGTAAGTACATTCATCTCTACTCGTACAGTTGTTGATACTGTATGGTTTGTGATGTTTAGAAACTGACGTTTCGGACGTTAGTCCTTCGTCATTTGCTCCGACGAAGGACTAACGTCCGAAACGTCAGTTTCTAAACATCACAAACCATACGGTGTATTAAGTTAAATCAATTCTCCTAACTAGTTTATCTAGTCTCTACCAGTTGTTGATACAATCACTTCATCCCGTCGTATCTCTTAGGCGGGTAAAAATAAGCAATTTGGTATCTTTTAGGGTGTTAAAACTTCGGCATTTCTTGGCATCTTTTAGGATATTAGAGTTAATTGTACAATAACTCACAAATTTCTCGCGCGCTGATTGGTTATTTTTTATCATCAATAAGAGGACAGACAGATAAAGCTGACGCGTGCGCTCTTTGCGTTGGTTGTTTTGATTGCTGAAAATGAKAAGTTTTTATCGTTTTTGTTATTGTAAAAGACAAATAGACATAGAACTACATTCATCTCAAGTCATATAGTGATTTGGAGAACACATTGCATTAAGATGCGTAAGTAGCGGTTCAGTGGATCGTTGCACATCGGATGGATCATTTACGTGATCTCTGTATCTTGCTAGGGATGTTAGAATTAACCAACTTGTCACTCAAGTGGACGACCTAACACTTTTACTCGAGGAAGAGCGACTGAACCACAAATTCCAAGCAAGAAAGGTAACAGATATCACGTCTCATATTATAATGAATTATTAGTTAATTATTATTGTCAATAAAGTTATTTATTATTATTAGAAAGGTAATAGATAATCTTAAAAACGGTTCTTGGATAATTTTTGCGATGTTCAATCTCGTTTATATTTCCCACAACTGAGAATAGAACACGTTTCATTTTATTTTATTCTATTTTTCTCCCAAGAATGTCGAGAACAACAAGATGTATGTTGAACAGATCCATCAAGAGCACCGAGAACATATCATGTAAGTAAAGAAACGGTTTAGTCTGTGTAGTGACCCAGAGGGGTGGGGATGAGTGTGAATGGGGAGAGGAGAGGGTAGGAAGGAGAGCTCTCCATTCCCTCTCGCTCCTTAATTCTCCACGACCCCCTTTCCCCTCCTCCATTCCCCACAACCCATTCCCCTTCCCCATTCCCCACAGCCTCCTCCCCCTCCCCCTCCACCATTCCCCACACCCATTCCCCTTCCCCATTGCCCTTCCCCATTCCCCACAGCCTCCTCCCCCTCCCCCTCCACCATTCCCCACAMCCCATTGCCCTTCCCCATTCCCCACAGCCCCCTCCCCCATTCCCCACAGGCTGACTCACAGATCCCATTGAAATTTATCTGATCTTACAAACGCTCCATCCATTACTATGGCACTACATTTTTTTATCAAAGTTAGAACTTCATAAATGATGTTCCTTCTTTGAAGGTCTATCGAGAATGATCACGCTGATGATATTGAAAGACTAAAGGAGGAATTTGAACAACAGGTAAAAATGCTGCTTAGCTTACCCTTCCCCTCATGCTACCAACGTTTTCAAGGGGGGAGGATATGGTTACGATGGGGGGGAGTGATTACACCCTCATAGGGATATCCTGGATAATCCCCGGGAGGGAGAGATGACTTGCAGAGTGTAGCATGACCCAGCTACACACGGAAAATCTTACACTCTTTTGGCACACACTGGTCTGACTTTTTTTGTACGAGGAGCTAAATTATCATCAAAAGTTTCAAGTGACATTTGAGTTTATTTGGAAGAGAGAGAGGGGGGGGGGGTAAGTTTGCGAACTTTAGACACTAACTTTCAAGGCATTACTTTTTTCTTAAGAAATGTCTCCCAAGTAAGATTTATCTACCCGCAAGCCGTTCTACACGAGACGCAACTAATATAACTTTACACTTGCCTTTCACAGATGCAGCAAGAACGATCCTTAGCCGAAGCTGAGAAAGGTATGATATACGACTGAACACTCGACTATTTGATTCTGGAAGCACGGGTGGCGTAGCGGTGAGAGCGCTCGCCTCTCACCAATGCGACCCGGGTTCGAGTCCCACTGAGCTCGGTGTCGTATGTGAGTAGAGTTGCTTGTTGGTTCTCTCCTGTGCTTCGCTACGCTCCCCAACCCCATCCCAGGTCAATATAATTGTTAACGTTGCTCATCTCCTTTCACAGCTCGGATTCAAACGGAGCTTGAAACCTTGCAAGGGGCCTTCGAAGCGTACAAGGTATGCTAACGAAAATATTGAAAAACGCTGATGATGATTTCGTTTCACTTTACAAAATAGACACTTATTGGGACCAACAACATTAACCAATCACAATGTAGTAGGATGAACATTGTAGCCAATCAGGAGAAAGTACCTATCAGTGCTGGCTAATAGTAGGATGTTGATCACAATGTTTTATTCTTGCGGCTGTTGATAACATTTAGAGTTGTTTGTCAGATATACAACTATTTCAAACAGACGTTGTCATCGCCAAAGGTGATAGGCGATAGGTCTTTCCGACATGGAAATAGTTTCGTTGAATACAAAGAATATTGAATCAGTTTTAACACTAAGGTCCATGTTATTCCAGCTATTCTTGGTTCTTGGAATGACCTATCTCCTATCGCTTTTCGCCTATTGCCTATTGTCTATGCCTTTGGCGATGACAACCTTTTTAGAAATATATTTGTATATAACCAATTCTCTGCTATATACCTTGCTCCAGATTGGCTTAAGTTGGCATACTTTGTTTTGAGTCTACACTGTCATTGGTTAATTCCGTAAATATGGTCCCAGTATTAGCCATTCAGAGGTTAAGGAAAAAACTGGGTCGAGTCGGCATTGCAGTGCATTGTGGGACTGTTTTATCACATACAGTCCACTGCAATGCCAATTCGACCCAGTTTTTTTCTCAACCTCGGAATGGCTAACAGTGTCTGTTCTGTAACATTTCTTTCTAATGGCTGGTTATCATGTTGTCTAGGTTACCGTGGCTACTGAAATGGACTACAAATGGGAGAGAAGAGAGGTTAGCACATCAGTCTCACACTCTTTATGTCACTTTACAGTTTTAGGACGGTTCTAAAGTGGAAATGCTTGTCAAAGTGAGAACAATAGAGGTTTTGCACCATCACGTAACGGCAGTCATGTTAGATGGCAGAACAATAAAATCCCTATGCTCTCGAGAAGTGTATTCTTTCTCATGTAAAACAACAGTCCCCTTCACAGTTCCCTGCGCCATCTTGAAAGGTAGCCGTGCCTTTGCATCGAAGCGAGACGAACGGTGAGCTTGCTATGATAGAGATATGGGAATAATTGTCTAAGGTGTTAAAAAAGATCTCTATCATTGCAAGCTCACCGTTCGTCTCGCTCCGATGCAAAGGCAAAGTTACATTTCAAGATGGCGCAGGGAACTGTGAAGGGGACTATTGTTTTACATGAGAAAGAATACACTTCTCGAGAGCATAGGGATTTTATTGTTCTGACATCTAACCACAGGCAGCCCAAGCTGTATTATGATCGTGGGCACGTGATGGCGCAAAACCTCTATAGTCATTATTTGGTTAAGTAAAAACAATATTAAACACATTTAAGATTTAATCTTATTAACATGCAAATATATAGCTTATAGAGTAATTGGCATGAATCTTAGCTTAAGCATGTTAAACACCTGGGCCCGGTTGTACGAAGCCTGGATAGCGCTAACCAACGGATTAATCTTATCCAGTGGATAAATTTATTGGATAACAGCATCGACTTATCACTGGATAAGGATTTATCCGCCAAATAGCGCTTCGTACAACCGGGCTCAGTTATGGAAAAACGCACTAATATTCATTTTATTTTTTAATCTGCAGAACGAAATAAGATATAACTACGAGAAACAGAAAGAAGATGCTATGACAGAACTCAGTAAGTATTAGAACCTTGTTGACAAACTAGTTTGAATAACATCTGTCATACACCACTATCACGGCACGGTGTTGGTTACGTCCTTTCAACTAATCACAGTGCGCAAGTCATCCAATCAGAATACTCGGACACGATAACGTCACGGCACGATGTTAAATACTTCCTTTCAACCAATCACAGTGCGCAAAACATCCAATCGGAATACTTGGCCACGATAACGTCAGGCACGGTTTTAAATACTTCCTTTCCTCCAATCACAGTCCGCGAGATTTCATCCAATCAGAACACTCGGATACGGCACTGTTACGGCACGTCACCGGCATACATAAACTGCTTTAGTAATAATTGATGGCTTAAATTTATTTATTAATAATTGTATGATTTGTGTTGCATTTCAAATAAGGAAAAGAACTCCTTCACGACAAAAACAAGGAGATCGACGCAATCAACAAAGAACATCAGCGCCAGATCATGGTACTTGTGGACGATCATGCTAAGGAAGTTGATGTAAGATATTCTTTATTAGTACTAATATCTCAGTTGTCTCACTGCCCTTAATACACCGTTCTCATAATGACTGACGCACTTCGAGGTCACCCAGTATTAGTACTAATATCTCAGTTGTCTCACTGCTCTTAATACACCGTTCTCATAATGACTGACGCACTTCGAGGTCACCCAAACAATAGTCCACATTAAAAGATATAAACGCACACGAAATGCGTTTATAGACGAAAAGTTTTAAAAAATAACTTTTTGTTTTGACCTGAATTCGCGCTATCCACGTTTTATTTTGTATGAACAGCCTTGCTCAGCCTTGCAAGATGACTGGCTGGCCTTATTTCCGTGCGCCAGCCATTATTAGAACGCTGTATGGCTTACTCAGTTATATTTGATCAATGCCATAAGCATTTTATGATGATGTTTTTATGTTGTTAATGTTCTGCAGCGCTTAATGGAGAAATTCGCAGAATACATTCAAGACTCAGAAAACCTAAAAAAAGTGCTGACGCAGATGCAGGCAATGACACAAGAGAACACAGAGTTAAAAGAAAAGATTAAAACAGTCTCCGAGAAGCTCAAGAAAACACAAACAGATCTTGAAAACAAAAAAGTCAAACTTGCTGGCTATGAAGAGCACTTTGCCGAGAAGGTAGCCGAGGTGGACAACAAGTACTCAATGCGCATGCACGGACTGATGTCGGATAACACGGAATTGAGGCACCATTACATGAAGAAAGTTGAGGAGGTGCTGCGTCTGCAATCCGAAGAAACAACCAAGCAAGACGAAGCCTTGCACGCTGCAAAAGACACCATGCAAGCCATCATTATGGCGCGCACAAAGAGCAATGTCAGCCTCACAGCTCTGAGAACAGAATCAGAGCAACACCGTCAACACAGCAAGAATAACAGTTCCGCTAATGACCCTGCTTATTTAGAAAGGCGCTCAAGTTTACCAACAACACGAGAAGAACTTAGCATTGCCTTACAACGATCTTCAAAGATAGAGAAACTGCCGCGAAGACCAAAGACACCAACCTTAGCTGAACTGGGTGCGGCACACAAGCCTCGACCGCATACCTCACATTATGCAAAACAGACTAGTCCCAGGGCTGCTCCATGTAGTGCTCGGGTGGGACCAAGTGGAAGTTTTCATCCAACAGAAGTGAATATTTCTGATCAGGGAATCAGGAACTTGAAACTCCCATAGATTGTAATACAGTAGGGATAGCAGTTTGAGAAAGCACTTGCAAGGTAAGAGGTTCAGTGCCGATAGTTTAAAAGAAATGGGTTTGCGACTACACCAACAAAGGGCATGCACCCTGAAAAATTTCCATACAAATTGGCCAATCACGATTGAGTATTTAAGCAATAGGATCTGTACAAATTTTGATATTTTTTCAGTTCCTTTAAAAGCATATATTTTACTTCATACGAGTATGTATGTTATCAAGAGTGAACAAAAACTAGTTTAACATCCAGAATTCATCAATTCATCTTTTATTCTGTGTTAAAAACATGATTTGTGAATTTGATTTAAAGTTTGTTTGGGTGGCCTTGGTTGGCGTAGTTGCACTGTAGCCTAGTAGCTATTCTTCGATTAGCTTCGATTACACGTCGTCGTGGCCATTGTTTTTTTTTTATAGATTTTTTATTTCACTCGTAAGAATTGTTAGTTACTATTTAACGTTTTTTAATGATTTTCTTACAAAGGTTTTGAAATGAATAAAAAGAATAATAACTGTAAGAAGAAAAGTAACAAATAGACTAAATACGGACTGTAATGATGGATTAAAGGGATGGTTTTTATATCCTGTTCTACTGATGTTACTGTATTTTCCTGTGAATCTTTATCCTGACTTGTATAAAGTAGATAAGGTTTTTTACAAGAGATGGTTTGTATATTCTGTTGATCACTGTCATGTTACTGTATTTTCCTGTGAATCTTTATCCTGACTTGTATAAAGTAGATAAGGATTTGACGACCCAGCGACCAATACCACCACCACCTCCTGTAAATACAAACATTAGTACAGATCGCCATACACTAAGGGAGAGGTAGAGGGGACATGTAGAGCAGGATAGGAGGTGGTACCTTCGTGTGCACTGCCATTTAAAAAAGAAACACGTTGATCGAAATGCTTTACATACCATGAATGGCTTCCCATCAAGAATATTGAGTAACAGGATTTTTTTAACAAACATTTCACCTTTTAGTTCATATAGGTTTAGACATTTGTATAAAAAATAATTTCATAATTAATATAGAACTTACCTCCACCCGTACCAAGAGCGCATTCTCTAGGCGTCCCTCCTTCCACACGAATCTTTCCAGAAACAGTACCAGACAATTCCTTAGTAAAAATAACAACACTACCCCCCGCACCACTACCCCCTGGGGCAGCACGATGAGTAACATCACTTGGAGCGCATTCACCACGTGATCCTGTGGAATAAAATGAACGAGAACTTCGAACCATGTGAGATAATAATTACACGTTATAACTGATTCACGTAATAACTATATGTAACATTATAACTTACCCTGTGCTTCTATCGATCCATTCAACGTCAGCTGGTCCAAAAAGAGTAGTACCAGGCCACCACCGTTACCTCCTTTCCCACCAATAAACCCATATCCATTACCACCTCCCCCTCCCCCACCGTAGCTAAGATGAGTGTAGAAATCCACGTTACCATACTGAAATCCACCTTGACAAAAAAAAGTAGTTTAGAATAAATGCTTAAGTTGACTACCCTTGTCTTTTTTACCCTCTCTTCCTCTCTTTCTCTTTCTCGCTCCTCTTTTCTTTTCGCGTACATCAAAATTTCTTCATTACTCATTGTTCATTGTTTTTTTCGTAACAAAGACAGTTTGTTGCGTGTGTGGATTGATAATACATGCATCATTCAATATGCAATAATTCAACGTAGCAGCGCAGCAAAACGTGCTCTATTTCCACCGTCGAACAGTTAGTCGTTAAACGAGGAATGTTAACATACTTTTTAGGTGTACTACTGAGAAACATTTTGCATGCCCCTTTGTTGGTAGTTGCCTATTTAACCCTGAATCTTATATTTCCTCCTTATTTGCTTATAGTTTAGTACGCCGTACCAGTCAATGCTTGACGGAATATTTTTTGGTTTAACGGCATCGTCGCCGAAGCATACATTTACACCATGGCCTTAGGGCAAGCAGTAGTCCCCTTCACAGTTCCCGGCGCCATCTTGAAAGGTAGCCGTGCCTTTGCATCGAAGCGAGACGAACTGTGAGCTTGCAATGATAGAGATCTGAATAATTGTCCAAGGTGATAAATAAGGTCTCTATCATTGCAAGCTCACCGTTCATGCATTCTTTTACGGACCTCGTTAGGCTCTATATGTTTTACTTTATTCGCCCGTAGTTTGGTTCAGTTTTTAAAAAAAACACCAAGTACACCCCCCCCCCCCCACACCCCCAATAATTTTGCCTCTATAATTTGACTTAATCGTTTGCTATTTAAAATATCAATAGCAAATTTAACAAATATGCTATAAATGCCCCTCAAAATACTAGAAATCACTCTTCCGAGCAAGGATCTCAGTTTAAAACGTTTTCAGTGTTCCCGCCTTCGGCGGTCGTTAAACGCCCCCCCCCCAAATCAAATTACTCTCCGCGGTCTCTGTGGTTGACGTCAAGGTACTTTACCTCCACCTCCTCCACTACCATAGTTTAAGCCTGGAGAATTGCCTGTAAAGAAAAAAGGGTGAAAATTAAAAAAACCACCGAGGTGACGTCGAATCTTGAAACGAATGTCAAGTCATTTACCACTTGAAAAGTATCTACCAAATATGACTGATTAGCTGAGGTTCAACCTCGGCAGCGGTTGGTGGCAATGACGATGCATGTTGTTTTCAGCTAAAGAAATATGATTTCCTGTTTCTACTTCTGGCCAGAATTCTGTAATTTTGTGGTCATTAAAGCAATGAAGATTGCTACTTGTTACTACCCTCAAGAACATTGGTTCTGAGTCAATCAAGCCGTCGAGGGAAGCATGGGACATTAATTGTGTAATAGACCATTTTCGAATTAGTAAAAATTAGTGTTTTCCTTAATCGCAGACTCATTCCGCTCAGGATTAGCCTCGTATCAGTGTCAAGTTACTCACAAGTAAAGAATTTCAACAATACAAGGACCTTGACTGGAATGCATGTATATTCAAAATAACTGTCACACGAAATAACTCTCTACAACAGAGGCTAAGCTAACTCTATACAACAGATAATTCGAAATTGGAGTATTATTATTGGATGACACAATAACCTTTGAGAAAAAGTTACGGCCATTTGCAAAATTTTATTTGTGTAACTCGTCGTCAGTAACGTTAGACCTGCACTCATCCTGTATGCGTGTGACACTGATGATTATGAGGGTTTGTTTGATCTTTGATTTCTTACCTCCTATTCCTCCCCGTACAGAATTTCCTGCATTCCCTCCAGTGGAACCACCAATTCCTCCATTTCGACCAGGGCATTCAGAAGATCCGCCACCTCCTGCATAGGCTTGAATCTAAAACCCAGAATCTACCAGTAAAAATTGATATCGGTTTAAACAAACTGACGATGGCCACTCACCAATGTTGATGCAATCCCACCAGCACCACCAGCAGATTTATAACAACCGGTTCCTCCACCCCCTCCACCGCCTCCTGAAAAATGACCAGCTCCTCCTCCACCGCCCGCTCCATCGTCAGGGTTATTGCTCGAGTCTCCCCCTCCTCCTCCAGCATTTAACCCCCCTGGTCCTGTTGTTGTGACTGAAAAAAATGGTCATGAGTTAAAACATCGTACAGTTTGGCATTTCCCGACTATTGATAAGCGAATAGCATAGATACAAACCTTCCCCTGAACCTCCTCCATGGTCTCCTGTTTGACCAGCATCTCCACCTTTACCGTATGTGGATGATAAACATACGAATGTTTCCCCTCCGAATCCACCGCCACCAGAACTGTTTCCTCCCGCACCGCCATGGAAACCTTAACATAAAGTAATTAAACAAATCAAGCTGCTCTCTTATTACTTGATTGATGACGGGATTATTGATAGAGGCTGTTAACCATACCTTTCCCATTGACTTGTATCTTGGATGTGCTGTCTATTGTTAACTTGGTTGCTCTCAGAGCTAGGATACCACCCACTGCTCCAGACCGAGCACGACAAGTCACTTGACAGGACTGGGTCAGAGAGACGTGGTCAAAGAATGGCAGTCGTTGAGCGATTAGTTCACATGGAGAACCGGAGAGTGTGATGTTGATCGGTGTTAGCAGCGTTACGGCGCATCTAAAAATTTGGGATAGTAAAGGAGAAAATTTGTGCCTTTCCCTTAAAAAAATCATTCGTGACATAGCTATATAAAAGAGTACGTACAGCAAGAAATAGAGCAGTTTTCGCATGACTGTGAAAAGCACAGTGTCGTAAGCGTGATTGGTCTGACAGTGCCGTGACCTTGGCGTGACCGTGTCTGCGCCGTGTTCATGCCGTGTTCGACACTGGTAAAAAACGCACTGCGCACGCTCGGAGATGGCGTAGCGTAACTAAGGGCAACTTATATTTTTGATGCAGGTGTTTTGATTGTTTTACAAAATCGCAAAACTTAAGGTCGTCCTTCTCGCAATAGCAAGATAATTTCGATTGTGATACACAGCTGATTTATACAAAAACCTTTTGTTTATACAAAGCAAAAATAATCTTTGAAAATGCCGCCACTCGCGGCCCGACGTCGACATCCAGCATGGCTAATTTGCAGATAATCACATGGTCGGATTCTATGTAAAGAAATCCAAAAATATCTGTAAAATTCCAAAACGAATATTTAAAAAATAGCCCTGTCGGTTAAAATAAAACCTACCTTTAGATGAGATCAATTGTTATTAGTATTGTCCGCCATTTTGTTTTTTCTCCCAACGCATGCGCAGTGCGTTTTTCACCAGTGTCGCCATGTTCAGGGTATTTGATTGGATGGAGAATAAATTCTCGCGCAAAGTGATTGGTCTGGCGTACCCCTTGCCGTGTTATGACCGTGTTCGTGCCGTGAGCTTTTCACAGTCATACGAAAACTGTTCTAATTGTTTTTGTAACACAAAAGAATATAATGAATAATGGATTCAAAATTTATTAATCTCTGCAATCAGCACAAATCGACAAACGAGCGTGCGCGCTAAGTTCACCTAGAGGCGAACTTACAACAGCATAAGACGTAAATTGTAGTCAATGAGCGCATCGGATTTATTATATTCACTTGTGTAAAAATACTAAGATCTATTATAAAATTTGACGTGATTAGATTGGGTGCTTGCTTGCTTAAACAGACAAATAGATAGTTTATCAAACAAGGAAAATGTCGACGATCAACGAGTAGGTGGATAGCGTTGAAAATGCGTACCGTATGCTTCGAAAATTATCGGGGAAAAATAACGAGCACAAATTGATTTTTTTGCTTGTTTGTTTTAGCATCTAGCATAAAGGGATCCCAACCGTCAAGATTAGTGCCGCTACTCGCTTCATGAAAAGTAGATATATGTTTTTCTTACCCTGTGTTCTCTTTGACCTTGACGATTTGGTATTTACCATAATCACCCAGGCTATCATTTCTTGCTCGACTAACGAACAAAAGAAGTTCTTCTGTGTTTGTAACATTATCGGGGTTACAACCCGAGAGATTGAGGCTAGTAGGGCCTAGGATTGTAGCCTGCCACGCGGTCATATTCGTCTGACAGAGGTCTAGAACCTGATTGGAGCAACTGACGTTTTCTCCTGATAAACATCAAAACAAAATGAGAATGCATTACTAGTTTTGTACGTTTGTTCTATCAAGTTAGCACGAAAGAGAACACGGATGGCACGAAGGGAATAAGATACGGGAAGAAATCGGTCCGAGGCTTTGCGAGTTAAAAGTATTGCCATTCTACGTCCTACGCAGAGCGCAGACGTTCCTAGTATACTGTATGTCACGCAACGTTTTCCTCCCCACGAACGCCTGCTTACTAGAGCAGAGCATTCCTTTCCAATTGTTATCATGAGCCAATCGAAGTTGAAATCGGCTTATTGCTTGTTAAGGAGCTGAACCAATCAAAAACCTCGATAAAAAATTTCGCGCCAACTTAGGAAACTAGATAATGAAATGGTTTAATGTATGCTTGGCCGGTAATACATTATACGGTTAAACTCCGTTTCAACGATGACCACTGAACGACGGAGTCCGAGAAGCCTTGAAGGTCTAACCATTTGCAGATGTAATTACGAAGGCAGCATATTTAGTTATTTTAAGACCCTGAGTGTTGGTCCGGCCGAGGCTTAAACCACGACCTCCCGCACAACAGACCGACACTCTTACCAACTGAGCTAACCGGGTGGCAGATAAAATCGTAGCAAATCATTAAAACTAATTAAATTACAAAGTGAGTTGAATATAAATAAATGTTACCCCGGCTTTACGACAACAAAATATCTCATTTTTGATAAAATGCCAATAACTCTCGAGATCTTCTTACACAATTCGTGCACATATTGTTTCCAATCTTAAGCTATAATCAATTATTAGACCTAAATATTTTACTTTTTTTTTCTAGTTTGATAAAATCAACCAAATCCCTACAGATACAAACAGGACTATAGAGAAACAGCTAAATATCATAAGCACTGAATTAATTTTCTCTATAGAATTTTCTGTTAGCTCAACACCGGCACGTACAGTGCATCTGTTCTGAACATAACTCCAGCGAAAACACGGCTTTTTGGTATTTAATTTACGGGATTAAAACTTTATAACAAGTTCGAAACCGAATTAGCACACGTACGGTGCACCTGTTCTGAATAACGCTCCAGCAAAAACACGGCGTTTTAGTTTTTGATTTATGTGAGTAAAACTAAGGACTACAAGTTAATTTGTTAATATAGCGGCCTACAAGTGTATATGAAAATTACCTTTTAGAATAGCCTCGCAAGTTTTTCCAGTGTAATGTTTGCTGCATTGACAATGAAAGGTTCCGTTGTTGGGGTACGGAATACACTTGGCACCGTTACGGCAAGGATTGTCGTGGACACAAATGTCGTACTGCCGTACCAACATATCCATGTAAAAGAAGCTGTCACTTGGAATAAAATCACTTAGAAACCAAAGTTTTGTCTTTTTGTTCAATTCGCAGGTACTGGTTGTAGTAAAGTGGTTGATACTGTAGCAGGCAGGATGTTCAGTGCAGAGAACTGTACAACGTTCAAACGTAACATCATGAACTGTGTTCAGGACATGGTTAACAAGACGATATCCGCGTACTGCATTAACGGTTTGACATTCTTGACTGAAAGTTAGTTTGACAATTGTTCCAAACAGAAAAGCTATACATACGGTAGTTGAACCGGGAAATCCAAGGTTGGTTTGCTTCATGTTTCTGCTCCTGTATCAAGTACGATAAGCCGATCGTTTAATTGCTTTTTCACGTTTAAGAAAACTGAAATAAATGTTTAATAAGTTTTCGGCGACTGAAGATCATATTAAGGTACTTGGACTTGCCAAAGTGGCTGTCAGTTGGCCCAATATTTGTTCAAATAATTGTATTCAATATATTCTAGAACTGTCTTGAAAATGAAATATTCATAAAACTGAGAAAATTACATGATTTGYTTGTTAATACAAATAAAGGACTGCATTAACAGTTTGACATTCTTGGCTGGAAGTAAGTTTGACAATTGTTCCAAACATAATTCAAAGACTAAACATGCGGTAGTTGAACCAGGAAACTAGGGTTGGTCTTCATGTTTTGACTCGTTTACTAGTTTTTTTTGTAAGAAAACTGAAAAAAAAAAGAATAAATTTTCTTCGGAAGATCACAACACTATGAGAGAATGATTTGTTTCTAATTACAAAGTGACTTGGATATGTACGGCGCGTTTTTCTTATAAAAATTCAATTCAACATTTGTTTTTCAATATGTTCTTTTTTGCCAGTTGGCTTTTGTTTTTTTTTTTCGCACCACCTTTGGGTGTTGACATTCGTTTTTCGTGTTGACATTCGTTTTTTATGTTGACATTTGTTTTGTCCACATTCGTTTTGCGAGAGACTGGACTAGCGAGATTGCTCAATCTCGAGCCCAGTCTGCGATGGGCTTGATCATTCCAAGTTTACGACCTTGTGAAGTCGAAAGGTGGCTCTTCAGGAGAACAATTCTACTCTGCATGTAAAAGTGCAAAACTCTTCTAGAAGAAGTCGTAACAGAACTTCAAGCATCAACAACTCGGCTTCCGGCAAATCTAACCCAAAGAGTCCATTAAAGCTGCCTGTAGCAGTGTAGAGCGAGCACAGAAAGCTGTTCGCATTAACACACGTGGACCTGACGCTCGCTACAAACCTTTCAGTCAAGGAGTTCGAGGTTCACAGCCGGAGCAATTCAAGCCAAAGAAAAAGGCAACCTGGACAAGAAATTCTATTTGACTGGGGAGCAAAGATGATATTTTCCTCCCCTAACTCGTCACAAAATGTGCACGAACTCAAAAAGGCAGGCTTAGGGGAAAGGAAGACCACTTTAGAGCTCGATTGGGGCTCGAGATCGTGATTTCATATACCCTGTTCCAGAGCGAGTGCGATTTTATATACCCTGTTCTAGAGTAGAATCGCTGAAAACCATACCCTGTACCCCATACGACCACCTAACAGGCCACCATTTCTTCTGCTTCCGAGAAAGAACCCAAATTAAACAAAGAGAAAGATGGTGTATTAATTTTATTAAACGTATTAAAGCATGGAAAAGATCATTTTCTGGTTACGAATTCTACTTATGTTTGCTCGGAGCACTTCAGAAAAGAAGATATTCAAAAGACTGTAACAGGACGCTGGGAATTAGTGAAATGTTTAAGCTTTCACCGTGCTTAATTGTAGATTTCACATGTCATGCCATCGAAATAAACAATAGCTTTGTCAAAAGCTTGATTTTATCTCTGTATTTTCATCTTGTTTCCAGTATAATAACCTTACATAATGAATCAAAGAAGCCTTTTTAGAAATTTTTTCTTAAGAAAACCTGTTTGCCAACTATATAAAGGTGAAGTATAAGAGGTTTGTTTTTACATTTTAATACTTAAGTGAACACTATTTTGTTATCAAACGTTTTTACTTTCCACCCTTTTTACATTTCCTTCAAAAAGAACTGATAAGATTTTAGCTTTTTATATTTTATTTTCTTCGTGTGGACACAACAAGGTATAACAAGGTATGTGTACACAGCTGGAAGAAGTTTAACTCTGGTAACTTTCTGAGGTCGGATGATTATCCAAGCGCTGATATTCGTCTCAAAGTGGAATCGTATTTGAATTCGCTTTGATATTGTGATGCATTCCTTATTCCATCTTCAAGGGTGTTTTGTACTTGATTCTGGAATTACCTCGCGCATTAATATRGCGAAAACCTTCAAGACTAAGTCAGCTTTCAATCCACCTGTTGACTCAGAATAGCACATTAAAATGTCTTTCAGATCGTTCACTTTTAAGCTCTGGATGTCGGCCAGTGTCTCAATTCCGTTATTTTTATGAAAAAGGACCATACCACGGGTCAACTACAGCCTCGACCTGATGTAGCGCAATATAATTATTCAAAATGGCGTCGGTAACTGTAAAATGGAGTATTGTCAAGTGGAAAAGAGTTCCTAGATAAACATACAATGTTGAAGGGCAAACAAGAGAATTTTGTTCCTTAGGAAAATCCTCAAACATGAAATCGTCCTTGTTTTACGGGGGAAGCACTCAATAGCCAGTGGCCCTGGCCTCGTTCTATGATCGAATTGGAATTTAGGTTGATTTTTGGTTTTGTTTTTTTTTTTTTTTTTTTTTGTAGAGGGAGGAAAACCGGAAAACCTGTAAAAAACCGTCAAATTACACGAGAGAACCAACAAGCAACTCTACTCTTATAAGACACTGAGCCTGGGAATCGAACCCATGTCCTACTGATGAGAGAAGAGCGCTGTCACCGCTGTGACGTCATGCCGCCTGCATGTGTTTCCCTTACTAGCTGTGTCGTGAAACTACTCTGTCGGTGTTATGAAACATTTTCTTTATGGCTTACTTTTTATCCAATAAGCCTTTTCATAGTTTAAGAATCGATTCCACTGCGCATGCGATTTTATCCCGAATTTCTCACCTTCTTTTGTCTAAACCTTCTTTTGTTCTTAATTAAACAAAATATGAGAAATTCGGGATAAAATCGCATGCGCAGTGGAATCGATTCTTAAACTATGAAAAGGCTTATTAGTTGCAAAACAATGTTAGAAACGCTTGAACGAAAACATCAAGTTTTATAAATAAATGACAAACCTTTTTGAATATAGCACAACGATGTTATTTCACATGAAAGTTTTGAATAATATTCTTAACTGATTTTCTAAAGCTTGAGTCATTGAAAGCATAAATAACAGGGTTCATTATTGAACTGGTGTAGCACAACGATTCCAAGACAGGACGTCTTGGAAAAGAATGAATGAAATCTTCCTCTGTTAGGTTATACGCATGAAGCAGATCAAAAACTAATATAGGACCCCAGCTACACAGAAAACTAAGTACGACTATTATTAACATTTTTACAGCCTTCATCCTGGACCTAGCGAAGTGCGATGAGATTTTCGTCCTTCTTGCTTTCTTGGAAAGAAAAAAGAAAATCCTTGCATATGAATATCCCATTATAAACAGAGGTGCAACGAAGACAAGAGTAAAGTATGTAGTGATAGAGACTTGGCCATCCAGTGTCCCTATACCCAGCGCTACGCATGTCTTTCGTTCAGGATTCACGTCGAAAGTTGTCATGCTAATGTTGGATGAATTGGAGAAGCTTTCGCCAGGATAGGGGATGAATTTCTCGACTGCTCGTCTGGTGGAGTTAGGGCCGTGTGGTTGAAACCAAAACCTGCGGCGTACATCCCTGGTTTCTGCGCTGACGAGGAACGAGACGGAAACTGCTGCAGAATATACCAAAATACTTCCGATTACAACCGCTTTTCTGGGTTTAAAATATAGACTTTTTAGAGGATGAATGATGTGAACATAACGATCCACTGCTATTCCAGACAAGAGAGTAAAAACACATGCACAACAGGTATATTGAATAAAGGTCAAACATTTGCAGTGAAAGAGAGGCGTCCATTTTCTTGCTCTTATGACTACTGTGTAAAGTCCAACCACTCTCAGCACAAGATCACTCGCAGACAAATACATAATCAGGAACGTTGATAAACTTTTGTGTTGCTTGTTAGAAGTGAAGAGCACAAGCAAAACAACACAATTGGCCAGAATTCCAAAGACGATTAAAGCGCAGTCGATCGAAAAAAGAACTTTAAAATATACGTCTACATTTCTTTCGTAGTCTTTCACCTCAACAATGGTGTTTTGGTCCATTGGGTTTAAAAAGCATCGAGTCCCACACACTTTGATCTTTCTACCTTTGCTAGGGTGTATCTTTTGAGTTGTTGAAGGGTGTTCCTTTATATAGCTGTTCTAAGTCAACTTCATTTGCATTACCCAATATAAGATCTTTAATCAGCTGTTTGACTACAAGAGAAATCATCACCTGGATCGTGCAGTGACAATTCCTCTTAAATAAATATAGTGTGGGATCTACAGTAATTGGACAAACTTTAGTGACTGAGCACTTGAGCAAGACTGACACACAGGCTACTAACATATACCCAATATAGACTACATGTTACTTATATAGGTCTTACAAAAGTAGCCAAAAAGACATTCGTTGTCAACAATACGCAAGACACTTCGACTACATACCGTAGCAGTCAGATGGAGTAAGAATCTTTTTGCGAATTTTCGTGGTTCCTTACTTCGCCCCATGTAAGGGAATCCGGAATCCGGAATCCGGAATTCACGAAATTTTACGCTTTGGAATCCGGAATCCGGAATCCAGGCCTTGGAACCCAGAATCCAATTTATAATGAAATCCGGAATCCACCCTTGTGGATTTCCAGAATTATAATGGAATCCGGATTCCGCTACTTTGAAATCCAAAGTCTACACTCAAGTGCTATCGCCTCGACCTAGACTGAACCAGGGACACCTCCCTAGTTATACTGGAAAGTATATCAAATATAATTTTCAAAGAAAGTATCTGAAAATTAACGATATGGAATCCGGAATCCGCAATACAAAAGTTTTGGAATCCGGAATCCAGACCCTTCGAATTTGTAATCCAGAGTCTCGGGATACGGAATCCAGCGCTCGGAATCCGGAATCCACCATAAGTCCGGATTCCCTTACATGGGGCAACTTACTCTGTAGTCCTCGAATCTTTTGAGATTGAAAACAAGGCGAGGGAAGGTAATTAAACAGAATTATTTTCCGTCAGAGACTTAATAAAATTGTGCAATATTTGTACTACAATCTGTCTTGGCAGATTTAGAACCGAAACAAAAGTTTTAAAATGTCACTATGTAACGAAAACCATTTTCCAAGTCATTTCAATTTTTTGATTATTTGAGCTCTAAATCTTATAGAGCTTTTTTGGTGCAGTTTTTCTTTTCTTGCAGCTAAAACAAACTTGATATTGTCAGGGAGTAGAGTCACATTAAACGGACAAGCACGGGTGAGTCTCATGCCTGTAGATTGTACGTCCACTGATACAAAAAAGCTTCCGTATTTGCAAACATTTGCCATTTCATAAGCAAAGCTTATATCAGATTTATGCGTTCTAGTAATTACAAAAATACACTCTGATTGATTAATTTTCGATACACTTTCTTGTCCAAAGTACTTTGGATGAGGAGGAGCAAGTAATCTCGTAATATTTAAAGATTGCTGGTTGTGTTGGGATTGTATTGAACACATACAAAGTTTCAAGATGTTTCGATCTGCACAAGCTTTGTACTGGCCATACATCGACATACGGTCGTATTGAAGAAATTTCAGGTCCAATGAGCGTTGCGCTGTAACGTCACGTGACTCAACCATCACATTGAATACATCTTCACCACTACCACGACCAGCAGGCACGTAGATCAACATGGATGTGATTAATATCCCACGAGACGCGACACGTCTCTCACGCACTTCCTCGAAGAGAGTTGCTCTAAGTCGATTACACGACCGAGTCCAATAAAGTTGCAAGGTCGAGTTCTCTTTAGTCTGCTTAATAAGCTGTGCCTCTATTTGGTTATTTAAGTATCCTAACGCGAACTCAACTAATATCATCTTCATATCGTCGTTGGAGGTAGGATTATCCCATCCTTTACACACACACAGGTTAGGCAAGCGAAGTTCAAAGTCCTGGCAAGTGCGATGTGCTGATATGGGTGTAAACAGACCAGTCGGGGTAACAGGTCCGTGAAGAGGTTTAGTCAAAGCCATTATTGAATGATGTAAGTCTATGATGTTGACCAATCGATGCTGGTTGATTCGAAGAGCATCCAGAGCCGCGTCACCCAAACGTTGAGCTACTTTATTTGGGACGATGAGAAAAAGATGAGGATGAAACATTTCAAATCGCCCCTCTAAAGTTGAAGTATAGCTAGTGTAAGTGTTGCCGTGATCTGATAAGATTACTGTCAACGTGTCTTCACTCATAGACAGTTGAGTGACAAATTGAACAAGAGCAGGGTCTAGTGACTGGATTCTACGTCCAATGTGGTCATGTCCGACATTTAGACCCATGTAAGACAGTAAAGGTAATGCAGTAGGCGTTAATGTGATGGCTCTTATGGTGTCCGATGTGTACTGCAGTAAATAGGAATGGTGAAAACGACCATCGTAGCAAATCTGATCCCCTGTAGGTCCCATAAATGGTGTATTGATTCCATACACATATTCAAGAATTTCACATCCCGCATGAGTCAGTCCTGCAAATGAAAGAGAACAATTTTACTGAGTGGATCAGTGAGAGCGCAGATTTTAGTCAGTCAATCAACTTGATCATAAGACTGAAGTAGAACAGTGAGAGAGCATCCTTTCATGGTGGTGGTAGTGTGTGGTATGGTGACGGTGTGTGGTATGGTGACGGTGTGTGCTGATGTTGGTGGCGGTGTGTGGTATGGTGGTGGTGGTTTGTGGTATGGTGGTGGTGGTGGTGGTGTGTG